GCACTGGGAGACAGAGGGGAGCTGTGAAATCCTGTCTGGTGTGTCTGGCCTCTTACTGTCAGACTCACCTCCAGCCTCACTATGAAGCTGCTCCATTGAAGAAACACAAGCTGGTTGAGGCCACAGGACAACTGCAGGAGAAGATCTGCTCCACTCATGACAAACCGTTGGAGGTCTATTGCCGTATTGACCAGAAGTGTGTCAGTGGTCAGAGCTCACTGATTGACAGCTGGAGTCTCCTATCAGAGAGGCGGACAGTGAGTGCGAGCAGTCTGAAGTCAGTATGAGCGCCCCTGTTTCTCTCGTCTTTCTCTCCGGGTTTCTGGATGTGTTATTTCTGGTTTAAATTAAACACTTTGGATATTTCTTCGCATATTTCAATATTTTCTTTCTCTTGCAGTCCAGTCGGTCCTGTGTTTAATAATGTCGTTTTAAAAAGAAAAGTTTCATCGCTGTGCAAAGAAATGTTTAATGTTTGTATTAAGAGGATATTGGGGATCACTCCCATGTGTAATACTTAGTACTGGTGCATGCAGTCTTACTGGTCTGTTTTCTCTGCTCTCACTGACCCTATGACTGATCTCCCCCTCAGTCTGCGGCCCAGGAAGCCGGGGGTGTGTGTGGATATTGAGGAGAGGAAGGTCTCCTTTTACACAGTGGAGTCCAGAGCTCATGTCTACACTTTCACTGACATGGTCTTCACTCAGGGGGAGAAGATCTATCCTGTCTTCAGGACTGAGGATCAGTATAAAGACCTTGAGCTGCTGCCTGCTGTCAGTGTGGAGATTAAACCCGTCACTGACTCATGAACACAGGCTGACTCTCTCCCAGCTCTCTGTCCACTGCTCACACAGGGAGACGGGTTTACTGACGGGCAGTGAGGTGATGTCATAAACATAATAGTAATTTTAGATGATGACGATGTTGTGTTGTGTTTAAATGCATTATATTAAATTTAAAAAAATCAAATGAGGAAAAATAACATGTACCAGAGAGTGAGATATACCTCACTACCAGTCTGCTGTACTCCTGACTTGTAAATATCTCTGCAAACCCTCCTTTGTTTTTTTTTCTAATTTTAAGAAAATAAACTTTTAAAAATGAAATCCCGTGTGAGTCTCTCCTGCGCGTCGGTGACTGTGAAGCTGCCAGAACAGGGAGGGACCCGCTGACGTCACCACAGCCAGGAGGAATAGGGACTGTGACGCAGACAGGAAGTGGCTCAGGGTGTTTATGGGAGTTGTAGTTTGTAGGCAGCGCTGCATCTGTGAGCAGCTACAGCCGGTCTAATACCCAGCTCCCCTTAAGACAGGGTCACATCAGCATGTTCAGTATTGTGTATTTTATGCTCTTATTGTTTTTTTTTTCCAGTGGTGGTTTGTTTAGTGTGAGAGCTGTTCTATTTGATCTCTGTCTCAGGGGAAAGTGCGGCATGGACGCTTTGTGTCCGTTACTCTTTTTTTCTGGACTTTTCTGTATTTTGGTTTCCAAACAAGTGTGATAATCGGCCAGTAAAAGCTCTGTTTTTCTTAATATGAAAGTCCAAAACCCTAAACCGAGCCCAGGGTTTTGGTGGCAGCGGTGGGTGTTTTTCCAACAAAGGAGATACGATCCATATTGTAACGCATAGGGCCACCATTAGTTGTGAGAGCCTGCTTACCTGCATGGTGACGTCATGTTTCCCTTCCATGTGAATAGCTGGGACCGCAGCTGCCGGGCTGATGGGAGATTTCCCTTTAGCTCAAGTGGCTGGGTCCCTGTTGAGTGACGCCAGAGGTCCGGGTTCGAGTCCCCAACGCTGGGGGGCAACCTGAGGTGGCAGTGGCGAGGGCGCGTACCCACGTGAACCCCCGAGCGTTACAGTATGAAGAAGGAATGACCTTTATCAGGTGTGTACACGGAAGCCAAAGCCAATGAAGCACTGACTCAACTCACTGATACAAAAGGAGGCTTTTTATACAAAATCACAGACAGAAAACCCACCCAGAACAGTTCCAGTACAATCCCATGCCATATATGGAGTAAAGCCAAGGCGGCTAGCCCTGGTACGTGAGAAACTGTAAGAATATTCTTGTGTTCCTTTATTTAGTGTTTAAGCAGACAGTACATACTTCTAGATTGTGTTAATCGTGTCTTAAGCAGATACCAGGCGCTCTCAGTTCAGGTCAGGCTGCCCGAGGCTGGCTCTGCCCTTCACAGTCCAGGCACGCAGCCAGCTCACACTTGAGCTGCAGTTAGTCATCTTCCATTATTCTAGCAGGATAGTTAGTCAGTTATTTACACAGTAAAAGCAAACTGGTGAAAAAAGAGAAATAAATGTTTGATCCCTCAGTCCCCCCTTAGAACATATTGACACATTTGCCAATCATGTTCTACACAACAAACAAATGTAAGAAACGTTCTGATGTTTTTTTGTCTTCAGAATGGACTATCATTATAGATGTGGTCACCTTGGAGCATAAAGTTTTAATACCTGATATGACAAAAATAACAAACACTACCAATCCCATCAATACATATTGAGCCAGAGTACCCCCCCACGAGCCGAACACTGACTTCCACCATGAGCTGATGCCCCAATCATCAAGATTATAAGTGTGATACTTCTGTCCTTCATCATAGATGTGCTGTGCTAAATCCGGGATGTGTTCCGAATTGTCAGGGATGTCGGTACAACACTCAGCTCCAATTACTGCGCACGTCCCCTCTTGAGAGGCTAACAAGTCATCTAAAGCCAATCGATTTTGCATTGCGACAGTCCTCATGGCCACCATCTCGTCACTGATGGTTCTTAACCCTTCGGACGTTTCGTTAGCGAGTTTTTCTAAAGACGCAGGTGTGAATAGATTCTCTAGCAAGTTTCCCTGTTCCATACCAAGGGAAAGCTATAGCAAAGAATCATTCTACTTCAGTAATTGCTCGGGGGTGCATTTTGGAGCGATCTGGGGAGAATGGACTATGTGCCAATATCCAGGCGTGTGGCACCACTCAGCCTAGATAGCATGTTCCTGACCACTCTGCAGGAAGCCAGGGGTAGGCATTCTTCCCACATACTCAGTAGGTGCTGTTGGGCAGTAACCCATCTAACGGGTCCTTCCCCACTTCCCAAGTATTATTGTCTCCTTTCATCATAAAGAATGGAGCTCCGCTGTTTTCTGTTCGATTACACACACTTCTTCCCATGAACTGTGTATTCCAATTATGTGTCTGTTAAAACATAACCAGCCCCTGTATGGCCTGGCAAGGCGCAAGGCAGGTGGACGTGTACTGTGCTTATAACGAGGTGCGTACCAGCCCTCAGAATCTGTGGGAATCCATCCCTGCCCTTTAGCTATTTCTCTATATGGCTGCGTTAAGTTACCTCCCTTTACATTGGCAGATATGTTCAGAGTAGTTCTATTTGTCCAATCTACTATACCTACATGGTCGTTCATATTAAAAGGATTGACCCCTAAGGGCAGCCCTCCTTGTAGCTGGACGTGATATGGCAATACATACCCAGCACGAGCTCTGATTATTCCTTACTGACAGAAACAGCTTTTCTCCCTGATCCCTATGTTGTTCCGGGTCCCCTGTTGGACCCGCTTCTCTTACATCAAACAGCAAAATGGCAGAATACAACATCTTTAGCTGGTCAAATCTGCTTCTCTTGGAGAAGCTCTCCGACAGGGAGCGACGTGGATCCAGCGGTCTTTCCCCTCCAGCCTGACGGCCGATCCAGTGGTCAGCAGCACCTTCCCAACGGGGGCTGCAAGGTGCCTAAAGGAAACTTCTTGACCCAAACCCACTCGCCAGGGAGCAGATCATGTCCTCCTTCTGGTTGTGTCCCCAGGCCTCCAGCACCCGGTCTCTGTCAAGAGCTGTACCTACTGCAACAGACAATCAGTAATTCAACTCAAAGTTACTTTGGTTAAGTCTGGGCTGCCCTGTGTCCTGACAGCGCTAGAAACCATCGTCTTTCGTTTCATCACTTCTTTCATCCGCAACAACTGCCGATGAATACACTTTGAATCGCTGTTTAAATCGATTCCAGTTTCCAGCAGTATTACCTGAGGACTGCAGACTGGGGGCGGCTGGAACTTCTCCAGTTTCACCAGAGTTTTCTTCCCTTTGTTCAGTTTGCTGAAATTCCTTCCCGACCCGTCTTTACTGCAGCAGGACCGCTTCTGACACCATATCGTGATTTAGGGTTTGTTTATATATATATCTCCAACACAAGGAATGTGTTTAACTTATCTTTCTAATTGAACGGTGAGTCAGCAGTTCGCTCACGGGTCAGCCACCTGCGATCTCACGCACTAGCTTACTCCAGGGAGTGTCTCACAATTACTAGACCAACTAAAACACAAGGGAGTGTGTTAAAACTACCCATCATGACAACCCCTCTGTGTCTCTCCACTGTCCAGCTCTCCTCTGTCCAGGAGCTCTGTAGTGGTCAGTCAGGGTGTGAAGGAGGGACAGTGGTCCTGGATGACTGATCTCAAGCCTGTTCTGTATGAACCCCTCTGTGTCTCTCTTGTGTCCAGCTTTCCTCTGTCCAGGAGCTCTGTAGTGGGCGGTCAGGATGCATCAGAGGGAGAGTGGCCCTGGACGGTTTATCTTCAGATCACTTCTGTCAACACGAAACCTGGAGAGTATTTTGAATGTGGTGGCTCCCTGATCAGTAGTCGCTGGGTTCTCACTGCAGCACACTGCCCAGAACTGTGAGTAACTACAACTCTACTTTACCTATATTATAATAATACTAAT